AGAGAGAATGTTTCTTCTACCATTGCACTTTTAATAAATATTTGTATTAAATGATCTCAAAAGGATGTGGTAGAGCAGCCATCTCAAGAGGGGGCATTAGGCCCCCCAATTTTTAGGCACCCTCAAACTAGTTTTGTTTTCGCTTTGAGAAACTCTCCCCTCTCTTCTGTCATCGTTCGGCCCCCTTTTTCAAAACAGAAAATACAATTTAGAATTTAAAACGAAAAGCCAATGCAAAAGCTTAATCAAAACTATTTTAAATTTTAAAAATACACAGAACTAGCTTTTGTTCTTGAGAAATCCTAAATACAGGAAATCACAGAAATTTGTTTAGGTTCATATTTATCTATCAAAAGCCAGAGCTTTGTCTGTCACTCTGTCTGTCTCAAGAGATAATGAGCCTATAAATAATTGAAGGAGGAAAAAGGCAACATGTTTTGCTCAAATGCGTCTCTTTATTAGCCACTGTTGTGAGTGTATTGTACACACACAATATTATAAATTGTATTATTATATGAAATAAATTACAAGAATATGCCACATATATTCCATATGTATGTGTCTCCGTGTGTGTCTGCTTCTGTGTGTATATCCCACTCTTTGGTACCCTCTTGGAATTTCGTCCTGCCTTCCTACAGGGCAATATTTCCAGCTTCAGAACTAAAGTTGTAGAGACAGAAGCAATCAAACGTAATGTTCAAGGAGGCTGGGACATTTCCCTTGTGATTAAAAGCGATTGTTGGGGCTTCTTAGTGGAGAAAACAGGAGAGTAAAAGGTGGGACATGATGAGATCCTATGTATCAGGAAAGTGGAGATGGTGTACTTAGGATCGCCTAGTGAAATTCAGCAGCGGGAGATGCAGGACAGAAAAAGCAAGAATTGTTTCAGAGAGCACTTAGTGAAAATGTGGAATTCCGTACCGGTCATGATGGAGGAAAGGGAATGAAACAAATTCATGAAAAATTGGGTTGCCCGTGGCTATGAGTCACGGTGTCCATAGATTATGTCCAGTATCAAACAAAAGCGGGCACAGTGGGTAATGCAAAATGCCAAAATGCCTCTCCGAGTGATACCTGTATGAAAAAAATGAAATTGTGGATACTCAGCTGCGATCTAACTTATGGTGGGCCTCCCAGGATTTTTTAGGAGGAAAGGGCCGAGAAGAGGTTTACCCATCCCTCCATCGGCTTGTGCTCCAGGAATGGGCGGCATGTCCGAGGCCACATAGATGGCAGAGCTGGTTATCTCGTCAACCACACGTGTCCTGGGAGATCTCAGCTGACTCCTGGGACAGGTGGTGGGAATTCAAACTCCCAACGCACAGGACCTTTATTGGACTGGCTAAAAAGGCCAAACAATGTGCAGAAGGGTCAGCCCAATCCTGTCTAGTCCAAGTTATTGTTGTTGTCCTTAGACTAATCTGCAGAGGTGCCAAACAGTTGTGCAGGTTTGTGAGATGCCAGCCTGTTGCTTGGAGAGGTATTCAGAAAGCAAGGATGAGAGAAAGGGAAGGGAGAACATGGCCTTCTTCTTGTCCAGAAGATGCAAGAGAAAGTAGCAGAGGAAGGATGCTGGAGACAAAGAGATTGGCTTCGTCAAGCAATATAGGGTGTTAAGTTTCAACCTGGAGAGCCCACAGATCCGCTCATACCTGGAGAAGTTGAAAATGTTGGCCCTCCATGAACTAAGTGAGGCTCCAAACCTGGATCTCCCGAGCCCGACAGCCTAACCATGTAATGCCACACCGTTTGTGGGTGTCCGAGGGCTTGTCATGATAGACATTCCAGCACAATAGATTATCTAGCATGCTAGATAGACATTGCTTTGGTTCAGCAGTTTTCCTTACGTCCTTGCAATGACCTTGGAAGGTGATGCAATGGTCAGTCAATGGCCTATTCTGATTCAATCACTCTGATTTATCAAGCAAGGCTGCAAAACTAAATTGAATCAGCAGGAAATAAATCTCATCGAACTGAATAGGGAGTTCTGCTGCTCAGTAAATATACATTGCACTGTACCGATGACAGTTTTATCTTGTTTTGTTTTAAAGTTTATATGAAGCCTTTCCACCAGGCTTCCAAGGCAGATCATAAAACTGAGATCAGTCCGAAGGAATAAAAATAAATTGAAGATAATCTAAGAACGGTTCCAGTTGAATCCTAATATACAGCACAATGCCAAGAAATGGCATATAAATACATATGAAGTAAGGGTGGAGTCTGCTGTACGCTTGGGAAAATGCAGCCATTAGACCTGGGGCCTAAAAGCTAGAAGAATAAGTGCTAAACACATATCCCCCCATATAGGACATCAGCAAAGAAAAGGTGACATTATTGGCCCCCTCCCATCTCTAAATGTGGGACATCAGCATAGCCATGGCTTGATGGCCATAAGAAAACGATAGGCATGTTTTTGTCCTGCTCTTGTCTGGTAGGTGTAGAATAAGATGGATTTCCAAGGAACCTCTTTTCAGGCCATTTAGATGTTCGTTGGGGTCATAGTTAGACTTCCCTCGCCTAAGGGCACGGCAGCATAACTCTTGCTGGTTGGGTGTGCCTGGAAGCAAGAGAAAACCACAGGAATGTTATCCAGAAGGGAATTCTCATGAACCTTTCTCAGCGGTTGAGGTCTCTGGCTGTGGAGGCTGAGAGGTCAGTTCCGCACTTGAGCCTCCTTGACAGTGGCTGGAGATGATGATCCATAGGATCTCTTCCACCTCTGCAAGTTGTATGATGATGGTGGCGGCGGTAGTGTTTTTCCCTGAGCTGGTGGATTCCACAACTTGAGATGTACAGTATTTAGAAATTACAGCTTAGAGTAGAAAAGCCAAGTCATTCTTTAAGGAGGGATAAGACTCTACTGTCCATAAAACTCGTCCACATCCCTCCCCAGACCTAATGCATTGATTTGTTTAGATTTGTAGCTCCAAAATTTATGTCGCGTCAGCCCTTTGTCTACAAGTATGGACTTAGAATTCAGAAAAGTCCCTTTTCAGGATGACAGCTCCTGGTATTCTCCCCCCGCCAATATGGCCTCTGTAACGTGGAGCTGTATTAATCTTTTACAGTGAAATCAACCAAGATTCTTGTGGCATATGAAAAACTAGCACGTCTTCTATACCATATGCTTCTGTTGACTGCAGACCACATGCATCCGATCAGATGCATCTGAAGACTTGGCCTGCACTTCCCAAAATCAAATCTCAAAGAAATCTTGTTGGCTTCTGAGGTGCCTACAGGATTCTCTGGGAAAGTGGTCTAAACACTGGAACAGTGTAATGGCAGATGGGGCAGGTTGTCTGCAAAAGGTGGTTTGTTCTGCCCCTTGCTATCTCCAAGCGGGTTGGACTAGATGCCCTCAGCGTACCCTCCAACTCTACAAGTCCATTATTTTAGGGTTCCCTAGAGGTCGTAGATGACACCATTTTACTGGCAGGAAAGAGCAATGATGTGAAAGGACATTCAGTGAAAGTGGAAAAAAGAGAGAACGACAAAATTGGACCAACGTCGGACCTCAAGAAGACCCAGATCATGGTGACTGCAGAGGAACTACACAACTTTGACACTGACACTAAAGAAACTGAAGTGGTTAGAGATTTTGTATGCCTTGCTTCAGTCGTCAATCCAAAGGGAGACGGCAGCCAAGAAGTCAGAAGAAGACTAAGACTTAGAAAGAACAGCAAGGAAAGAACTAGAAAAGATCATCAAGGGCAAGGATGTGTCATTGGAGACCAAGACCAAGATCATCCACACTATCCTATTTCCAGTCATCGTGTATGGGTGCGAAAGCTGGACAGTGAAGAATTTTGTTCAAAACGTGGTGCTGGAGGAGAGCTTTGCAGAGCCCTCGGACTTCCAGAAAGACGAGCAAGTGGGTTCTAGGTCAACGGAGGCTGTCATACTCTGGGCACATTATGAAGAGACAAGGTTCTCTGGGAAAGCCAATCATTCTGGGAAAGGTAGAAAGACGAGCAAGTGGGTTCTAGGTCAATGGAGGCACATTATGAAGAGACAGGGTTCTCTGGGAAAGGTGGGAGGCAGCAGGAAAAGAGGAAGACCAAATACGAGACGGACCGACTCCTTCAAGGAAGCCATAAGCTTGAGTGTGGAGGGACATGTTGGAGATTGCTCACTCATGGGGCTGTCATAAGTCAGGGGTGATTTGACGGCACATAACAGCATCCGTAGGTTTGTAGGAGATGAACTTCTCCCCAGTCCGACTGCTCCTGGGCTGGCTGGTGCTGATGGGAGAGGCAGGCTGGGGATGATGGGAGGGTGAATGCTTAGCCAAGGTAGACGGCAGCTTCCCATGAAAAGAGGAGGAAGATGGCCATGGGGACAGCCGCCTCTCATGGGAATCGAGACCATCTCTGCAGAACGCCCAGATGCAACCCAAGTGATCTGAACCTTTCCTCCTGTTCCTTTCCTGGTCCTAATGCTGCAGAGGCGGAACAATCTTGCCCCTGGTAAAATTCCTCCATCTACATAACAAATAAGGCATTGGAAACCCTTCCTCCTTTTTAAAATCACCTTTGTTTTCCTGTGAGTTCCTTGGCTTTTAATCCCTCCCAAACACCCCCTTTGCCTATTCTGAGGTTGTGACTAGCTTTAACACCACCTTCCTGAAAATCCATCATTCCCAAGAATGGGCAGGAAAAAAAGAGTGAGTTCATGAGACCATCCACCCTTCTTCTTCTTTTTCCCCTCCTTCTCTCTGGCTCTTCTTTCTTCCTCCCTTGAAGGATTTTCCTTCCTGCCGCCTCCTCCTTTTTTCCCCTTCCAAGAAAAAAAAAAGGGCAGCGCTTTCCTCCCGTCCAGGCTGCAAAGGGTTAACCGCGCCGGGCTGCACCTGCTGAGGTGTACCTGTCTTTCTGGCACCTGTCTCCTCCAGCCAATCCGAAGCCAGGCTGGGAGATAACCCGACCTGTCAGCAAAATGCCTGTACAACATAAACCTCTTAACTTGAATCCAACTCTTCACTTTACAGGTGATGACTCTGTTTAGAAGGTACTAGGAGGAGAGGCTTGGAAGGGAAACCGGGGAAGATTTTGCTGCTGGCCAAGGATTGGAAACGTCTGGAGGAACATGTCTAATGAGATTGAGTAAGCTGATTGTTTTTTTCTTTCTGGCTTTGAGTGATTCCCGAAATGTATGGGGAGGGTTTTAAATGGAGACAGTTCTCAAGGCTGTATGGTTTAAGACAATCATTTCTGCCTTAAAGAAAACTAAGGTTTGTGATGTTTGTGATTTGGCAAATCTCTGCCAGTTTCCTTGAAAACAGCAAATCTTTAGAGGTTTCTGGCTGCGGCTTCAAAACTGTTTCTCTTTGGCATGAAACAAGGAATGCCCCAATCCCCCTTCAGCGCTACACCCTTCCAGCAGCTTTTTCACACAGTGAAAATCCAAAGTTGCTGTCTATCTTCACCCTTTCTCCTGTTCCTCAGAAGACGTTGCTGTCTAACCCCTTTTCAGGCGAATTCTTGCAGTTTGTGTGTCGTTTTGGAGATAGCATTTCTCAATGAAGCTTTGTCCTGGAGGCTTATAGTTTTGGGTGGGGTAGAGGGCTCTTTTCCCACGGTGGGATTTTGGGATGGTCCTAAAGAGATTTTCAGTGGGGAGGGATCTGGAGATAGAATGCACGAAGGTCCACTATAAGGAAAAGGTGCATTCGATTATAAAATTAGAAAGGTTTCAAGATCCCAAATGCCGTTGAAAGTACGGATTTGGCGGCTTGCAAATTCTACTGCCAGAGCCACTACAGAAGAAATTCAAGATGTAAATTTACTATAAGTTGCCTTCAGCAGATCTATCTTGCCGTAGACTGTCTGTGGCTGATGGGAATGGGTATGTGTTGCTAAGAGGTCTTTTTAAAATGAGTAGTCTTTTATGGATTATATGTCCAGAAGTGCAACTTTGGTGATTCTATGAATGTTTTTTGGGGATTTAAATCTTGTTGAAGTTACTAGGACTTGTCCACATAAGTAAGCGTACAATGATGGAGGAACCTTTGTTTTTAATGGACAGGCTTTTAATGGACAGCCAGATCTAGAGGGTTGTGTGTGGTGTGTGTGTGTGTGTGTGTGTGTGTGTGTGTGTGTGTGTGTGTGTGTGTGTGTGTGTGTGTGTGTGTGTGTGTGTGTGTGTGTGTGTGTGTGTAGGTGAAACTGAAGATGAATATAAATGTACATTTGGTATTAGTGCTTCCAGATCTGGGTATTAGCTTTCAATATTGTGTGAGTACAGGATTTGAAATAAGGGATTCATAAATAAAAGTGCTTTTCCAGAGAAGGCACATGGGGCTGCTTTCACATGGTGTGTGCTGTTATTGAACCTAAAAAGAAGACTGTCCTTCCTGTTGGGTGAAATCTTTATTGACACATTAATATGCAAGCTTCCAGGTTACGCAGCACTTCTTTGTCAGCGTGAACGGAATGTAGCCAGCTTTCAGCAATATGCAAAGCTGAACTGACTCCACCATAAAAAAATGTAGCCGTATTGCTTAGGGTAACCTGTGTGGGCCAGCTAAAGAGATCTGTGAGGGCGTAATAAGGAACAGGTAACTGTAAGAAGCACAGAATGCAGTGGCCACAAGGGGGCAAGAAACGGAGTCAAGAAAGACATTACTGTACAGTAGTCTTCAATGCAAGGACAATTTGATAAAGTTCCTTTTTTTGGATGACCACCCAAAGTCTGTGTGGGCCAAAACGGCAGAGGATTTGAGGAGTTTCAGTTAAAAAAAAGGTTTAAGTCTTTGAGATTTTAATGTGTCATTTGTTTGATCCCTTTTAGTAGTTGTATACTCGCTGTTGTTAGTTTTAATATTGTCTTTTAATGATGTAAGCTGCCGTAGGCCCTTTTAATGAGAAAGGTGGAGTAAAAATGTTGCAAGCAAGCAAACAAGCGAGCGACTGAATAAATAAACAAACGGTGTGACCAGATCACAAATTCCATCTCTTTCAGCATTTTGTAAAGTACGCTTGATGTAACCCACTTGGCTGTGCTTTTGTGTTCTTTTTTCAAAAGATGAATCTGATGAATGATTATCTATGGCAGGTAAAGTTAGGGCTGCCAACTTTTTCTCCCAGTCTTGCTCCTGTGTCTTTAACAGCACTCTAAAGCCTTGGGCTCTGTTGCTTGCATGTAGATACAGGAACAGCTTCCTTCATTATATTTTCTTGGATCAGGATGCTATCCCAGTGCAATCCTATTTTAAGTTTGTTATATATGTCTTTTTTTTTCCATGTCTTTTGATGAGGCAACTTTCTTGACTTTAAAATCACAAAGTTGACAGAAGTCCCTTCCTGCTGAGCACCCGGACTCTATAATTCTCATAATAATAACTCTTACATTTTTACACAGCATTTAAAACAATGCTCCGAGCATTTTGCACATGTCATCCCAGCCTTCTTACAGAATGCTAAATTACACCCCTCTCCACTTCTATTCAGACATTATAACCTTTTCCTGCCATCTGTCTATTTCCAACAGGCCATAGACGGTTGCATTCTTACACACAGCTTTGTGGCTTGGTGCGAGGAAAAAGGGGGCTTTCCATTCTGCCAGTTTAAATCCACGTTCCTTATATTTTGTGTTTCTCTGGATAGAGGCACCTGTTTCATCTCACTCTCTAATATTTGAACAAACCTAAATGGTAACTAGTTGGAGCAAAGAGGAACTTTCGCCCTGTGTTGTCACTCAAAAACAAACTGAATGCAGGGTGTAAGACCAGAAGCTCTATGTATCACAATTTGGTAGTCTTAATTATTTGCTAGCACAAAAGGTGTACTATTGTAGACCAATAAACCTACAATTTTCCCTTGTACTTAGCAACTGTATTTCAACATTTTCCTAGTGCCGTCATTGCTTCTCCAAAACAGTAGATATATAGATCTCTGCGTATTTAATCAAGATTTGTGTTTTCTTTCATTTTGTACTAAATAAAGTTCAGAACGAGTAAGATTGTGCGAGTTAGTGATCCAGTTGTTTGTATCTCCTTTTAAAATGAATCGCTTGATTGCTGCCATCTAGTTCTTCCTTCAAATGCAGGGTGGGGCTGGTGTTCTCTTTAGTGATGCTAAGTTGTAAATGCTGATAAAAAATGCCCTTCTCTTCTCTTTGGTCTCTAGTCCCTTTTAAAAGCCTTCAGCTATAGGAATACAAGCACATCCCAGGTCTGCTCCATGCCTTTTGCACGGATCTTTTGACTTTCGCATATGCGGACCAACCTTTTAAAACTGATTCGTCAAGGCCAGGTCACAGTTTTTGACTAGAAGGCGCTGAACGAGCGTCTTCAAGGGACAGAAAGGAAGACGCTCGGACAAGAATGAGGATAATATCCTCTCAAGAGAGTTGGAGGCAGCATGATTGAAGACCAATTCCCAGAATGATCAGACATGGCTAATATTTTTGTTTGTATTGGAAAGACGGTCGTGTTAACGTCTGTTTCAGCAGCAATAAAACTCAAAGTATTAGGTTCCCCCTTGAGACAAAACCATTCCATATGAGCCTTCATGAATTATAGTCCTCTTCTCCAGATACTTTTGATTTTGGTTCTGTTTGCTGTTTTGGTAACTGGGTATTTCCAGGTGAGTTGAAAGGAAATCTCAGGGTACGTGAAGACAGATGGGGTCTGTTGAGCAAATGGTTGACTTAGCACAATGCTTGAGCCCATGTAGGCACTCAAATTACCTCACAGCGAGTTCTTTCAAGGAACATAGTTTGGTCATCTATAGAGGTAGCTCATAACTAACTCAACTTTTGGAACGAGCCCCTCTTCTGCTCAGTCTATAGGCTGTCCATGGTCATCTCCATCATCCAGTCCAGTGGAAAGTTAAGAAGATGCTGGTTTGATCCCTTGTTTCCTTCCCCATATTTTTGAACAGGTGCCAGCGCCTCTAGGCCCAGTTTGCATATGTCGGAAAACAAGGTGGTGAAGAAGCCCTCATACAGGAACCACAACAGCGTAGGTCTGGCCTTGTCATTTTGTTTGGCCAAATAAGCTAGGAGATTAGGGTGGAATGCCTTTTTGCGCATTCCCTCTGTTTTTTGAATTCTCCCTGCAAGGAGAAAGCTAGTCCACCAAGAAAGCTTCATTCCTTGGACTGCTGCTTCTATATTGGCAGGAAGTGCTTCCCACCTCCCCACCCCCAGAGCGGAGTAAGACATCCCAGTTTCCCACCCCTGCACCTCCAGTTTGAAGTTCAGGTTTGCCACAGTGCAGAGGTCATGTGTTTGAATGGGAGTGGAACCGTCAATCTGATTGGTTCAATCTTGAGCCAGTCATCCTTTTTCCCTCTCTCCCTCCCAGCTTGACCAACCTCATTGGGTTGTTAGTGGGAGGATCCGGTGGCGAGGATGGGAGGTGGGCACGTACGCCACCTTCAGGTCATGGCGGGAACTGCAGGATACGAATATAATCAATAAATAATAGGTGTTCCGAAGGAGACATTTCACACACTATTAAGCATATTACATCAGCCAGCACTGAGATGCTGAGAGATGTACATGCAAGTGTGAATTATCTCCGCTCCTCCAGATGTATTAGGGAAATCATGGATGCCTATGGCTTGCTTGTAGAGAAGTTTTCGCTGTGCTTTGCCATAATATGTGAAAAGGACATATTATGTGACAGTAATGGCAAAACACAACACATGAGCCCAGAAAACCCACAAGCACCACAACAGATGAACTTCACATTTCTTTTCACCCAATTCCATTCTAAAATTTTCCTTGCCGGGAAGGAAAAAAAAGTTACATAAATACCTGGGTGCGTGAACCAAGCAAGAACGGACTTTTTTTTAACACAAGACAGCCGAGCTGCAAATCCTGGCAGCGGGGTGGGCCTGAAAGGGTTAACCAAGAGCTGCTCCCTGCTGTGGTTTTGTGGTCGAAACCATGATTGCCAGGAGCAAATTTCTGCCATGCAACAAGGCGTGCTATTAAAATGTTGAGTTATGCTTTTGGTGAATGAAAAGGTTAAACCCTTTTATGGAGGAGGAGGAGGAGGAGGAGGGCTCCAGAAAGGGACCTCTTTCCAGTCAAGCTGTTGTGCGTCACTTATCTTTTTTATATATATATAAAAAGAAAATATACAATTCTGTTT